CTACTGACTGACAGCAGCTCTACTCTTCAATCAATCACTGGATGCTGCACTAGTAGGGTCCTATATAGCTTGTGTAATGATCTTATCCCTGTACAGGGACCAGGTGGGTCCCATCCGACAACCCCATCCCCCGGGCAACCCACAGTCCACTCTTCCTCATCTGTCTGCCACAAACACACAATACTAGTGGAGTGGGCAACATATAGTGAATCATGTAAGGTAGGTAAAGTCTTTAGTGAAATAGATATATAACGCAGCATCAAATGAAAATGCAATACAAGACCTACATTTTACTTAACTATACAAATATATTTAGTGACTGTACTTATTCATTCATATCTTGATTTTTCCTGAATGGACACATAACCTAAACTAAATTAGAACAAATAAGCAAATTATGAGCTTGTGAAATGTGTGCAGGTTTGCCCAAGGGCTCAACAATCCAGACTTGGCTTTAGATAATGGCCACCTGTAGGGTGATCTTAAATAAAAAATGAAATAGGCTATATTATAGAACAATTAGATGAGGTGTATATGATTAGAATGAATTGTGATGAAGGATCAATGTGAACCCTTCACAGTTTCAATGTATAACAGATCCTTATATATTCAGTCCTTCAGTGTGACACGCAGTATGGTTGTAGCTGCAGTGGGAGCTGTAATGAATGACTCTTATAGCACTGAGTCAGTATACATTAAACAAATGAAAAGAATGGGGTGGATGACTTTAATTATTAAGTGCAGTATATCTTTGAGGCAGAAAAATGTCTGACTGTGCAGAAGCTATACACAATGGAGCTGCTGCGACATAATGTAAAGCCTCCTTCTGCTCTGGCGAGTGGGCTGATGATGTGGATGGACTGTCAGTTAGAGGACCTGTTGGCATGTATCCACAAAGCTGAAGTGTCCTCAAGCAAAATAGATTTTTACAGTCTTAAACTGTTAGTATTATAGCAGTAGTAAGGTTTACAAATGTTTGTAGTGGATTGGGAGGAATCTTCTTGTTTATATGGATTTGCGGGGATGAGCCATCTAAAGTGACCTCTGCTGGGAAAACATCTCAAGTGACTGTAGTGTATGATGCTCATGGAAAACTGGTCGTGTGGTTTTAGTTTATTTATGGCCTGTTCTGATGGTCCCCCTATATGCAGAGACAGAAGCTTAAAAAAATAGAAATTGAGAAACCAAAAAGCACATTAGTAAATGGTCATTTCAGTTTGTGGTTATGACGCATTAACTTCCTTCCTCCAGTTTTATGTGCTGATCCAACCACGGCTGTCCTCAGACCGGATTGAAGCACATGTATAATCTGCACTTCAGTGCTGGATTCTTGCTTTGTCATTCATTGCCCACCCCCACACCCATTAACCCTCTATTAAAGTAGTCACAGTGGAGCTTTACACATTGTTGTAGTAATTCATTGGGGCTATTGGCATGTCTCTTCATGTGCCTGTACTGCTGCTGATCACTCAAACTCCTCAACAATTAGGGTGGGCCTGCGTTTATTGTTTGAGTTCAAAGGTGTCTGTGTTGAAGAAGGGATTAGAGGATTTACCTCTTTATCTTTAGACTGATCATTTAGCGCTGTTGGAGTATCTCCATGTGCACAGGGGCGAGGCGCAGTGACACTAAATCTAAACTATCCAGATCTGTTATTGCAAAACGGAGGTTTTTTCTTTTTAAAATAACTAGGCTGCTTGTGACCTTTTGTTGCTAGAAGCAGACAACTGACAGAGAGATGATGGCTGCCAGGTCACTGCTTGCAAAGAGAGAGAGAGAGAGAGGGACCACCAGGGAAAGATATGCTAATCAGATATTTACAATTGGAGCCCATTTTCTTCAGTGGCCAAACAAACATGTCCAGACAAAGGGCGCAGTGATGGGGCACTTTGGTTTGAAAAGTCCGCACCCCACCTATCTTATTACCAAGATAGAGAAGTACACTTCATGGTAGGACACTGATCTACTTGTCATTAACTCACCCCCACACACTCTCCCAGTATTTCCAGTGTTGGTTTATCCCATTCTGAACCCCTCCTGCCCCTCCCCTGACACGGCGCCTCAATAAAATCCATTCCCAAGTTGCCACCAACAAGAGCGCACGTATCACACCAAGACAGGGCACAACTACTGGTGTGTGATAGAGGATAGTTTATTTTACTGTCATCACGGGTGGAACTATTTATCTTCCGACTAGTTCGAGCCGCACATACAGTTTAGGTAAAATGTTGACAAGCGCCTTGGCGCGGCTAATGCTCCTCCTGTCTTGGGGTTACTGCGTGCTGGCAACGCAGGTCGCCTTCTCCAACTTCTCCGTGGACAACGAAGTGCGCTCCAGCTTCATCCAGCGGCGGCTGCGGAGCCAGGAGCGCAGGGAGATGCAGCGGGAGATCCTCTCCATCCTGGGGCTGCCGCACCGTCCGCGGCCGCACGTCCACACCAAACACAACGCTGCCCCGATGTTCATGCTGGACCTGTACAATACCATCTCCACAGACCCAGCGCCGCCCGGATACTCCTACTACAAGCCCGTTTTACCGACCCAGGTGTCCCCCATGGTGACCCCGCAGGACAGCCGCTTCTTGGATGACGCAGACATGGTGATGAGCTTTGTTAATCTCGGTGAGTTTAAAACTTTATAATTACAAACACCATTTTGTAACCTAATGTTTCTAAATTAGAGAGTGTAAAGCCACAGCGTTATATAATTTTATTTAAGGGCATTTTACTATAATAACTCTTAGTAAGTACGTAAGCTATGTGCCTCTGATACTCAAAAGTATCACAGTTTACAACTTAGTAGACATCAGTACTTACAACTTAAAAATAGTACAAGATCTGCTCCTCTTATATCACCAGTAACCACTACATTTTACAGGGACTTGGTTTACTGATGTTTTCATAAATAAAATGAGTACTTTATCATATTATGTTGTCAAGGAGAAGTTAAATCTCTGTTATGACAAGAGTGCATTAGTGTGTGTGTGTGTATACCTATTGGCTGAGTGTGTATGTGAAATACCAACTATTTGGAAATCTCCACAAGGATGGTAACTTTGATCCCAATTACGGACCCATTTCAGTTATCTATTCCTTTGCCAAAGTATTTTAAATCAATAATCACAGTACCTTGATGATAGTAATATCCTGTCTCAATTTCAATTTGGTTTTCAGATCTAACATTTCCACACACAACTACTGCTCAAATTCATGAACAGTGTTTTCTCTGCACCTGATCATGGCCACCTTGCAGAAGCAATATTTTTTGATCACACCAAAACTTCTCTGGTGGATCATTATCTTATCATTATCAAGCTGTATGCTATTGGTCTCTCACAACATGCACTGTTTCATTTGTATATTCACGACCGAAAACAACGTGTCGTTGTGGTGTACATTAGATTTGCTCACTACTCAGCAAAGCGTGCCTCAAAGTTCTATTTTCGGACCACTTATTTTCTCTATTTTTATTATTTATCAAACTTTTTTCTAATTGTTGTGCATCTATATGCAGATGGAACTATTATGTAAACATAAAACACATCACAAATTAAAGTGGCCCTGCAATCTGATTTTAATATTATACAATGTGTAATATACATGTTTGTCAGCTAACAATTTACTGCTTCATAAAACAAAAACATATTCAATGCAATGCAATGCATTTAGCAATAATTGATTAGCTGTTACCAGAAATCTTCTAAAACTGATCTTCTTCCCCTTAATGTTATATAAGCCTATAACAGACTGTGCAGCTTCATACTAGGCAGTTCTTTTCTTAAACACCGTTCTTACGGACAAAACACGCTCAAGTGGCCCCTGCTTGATATAAGACACTGATCAATTTATTTTTAAATGCATTCATTTTAACTTCCCTTACAATTTTTTATTCTTTATGTGTCAAAAGACTCAACAAGACGCTCTGATCCCCTTCGTATCTAAGGAACTTGGAAAAAAAACAGTTCATATTTTGGGCTCCTTTTGCTTGAAATAAGAGACCTGTAAATATCCGTCCTCTGTTATCATCTTGCTTATTTGAAAATATACAGTTTTCTTATCTTAACACAAATTGTTTTCAGTAATGCTATCAATGTTCCTTCTTTTATTTACAGATTGATCATTTTTCTTTTGACTGTGTCTAGTTTAAGGTTGTAACTCTATTTTTTTAGTTGTTTAGTTTATTTGTTTGATTGTTTGCTGGTTGTTTGTTCTGTTATTGTTGTGTTATATATTATTGTGTCTTGTACTCTTCTGTTTGCTTTGGACCCCCTTGAAAACGAGATAATACATCTCAAGGGGTTTCTCCTGAGATAATACATTTCTGACAAAGCCAGTGTGTCTGACATTGTGGCTTATAGGTCACTTTGTTCACTTCAAATCCAGCATTATGCATTCCGAGCTGTAAATGTTATGACAACATCCCTGTATCCGATTTCCCCAGAATCCCTTCAAAGCTCCGGGGGAGAGGCTTTAGCGTGGCTTTGTTTCACATGACTAGGAATTGAACGGGTATTTCTAAACCCCAAGGAAGTGAGAAACAAGTTGACTGAGATTAAGATACAAACTGCATCTAAACACGTTAATGCTGGTCTCTGTTAGTGCAGGTGCTTGTGTGTGCTGTGCATTCCTGCATTTCTTGTGTTTGTATGTTTGTTTGGAGAGGTGTAAATCACAGGGGTCACAGGTGGGAGTTGGGGCTGACTCAGACATTATTGAATTTATAAAAGGCAAATCCTGCCTTTGTTTCCCTTGGAGACCCTACAGCGGCTCTGATATCACTATGGTGAAACAGCAGACGGCATGGTGCCTGTGGCTCTTATCCGGATGTGGTTTCATCCAAAACCAACCTTTGTCTTCTGTCTGCCCCTCTCCTGCCTCTGGGCTTAAGGGTCAGTGTTAAGAAATGAAGTGTGTGCATCTGAGTTTTGTCTGTATGTATGTCGATGTTGTACATCAAGACAGAACTGAAGCCATTTAATTAAGAGCCATTTAGAGTTATTTTTCAATCAGCCCACAAACGTGTAGTTAATACAAAACATTTGGAGACTGTAAAAAAATCTGAAACATAACATTTTATGTCCTCAGTCGTGAACTTTTAACTGACAGTCTTTAGCTAATGAGATCTGGAAATATTGTTTCTGGAAACTCACAGCAGATTTATGTGGTTCCACATCTGAAGAGTTTGATTATAAAGAGGAAGGAGTAAAAAAAAAAGGACACAATGAGTGTGTATTATTTCTCTCTCAAGCCCTCCGCGGCCTCCTGTACTGATGATTGGCAGAGTTTTTAGCTGGGGCTCCCACATTGTGCTGGAGTTGACTCTGTCTTGGTGGTCCTGGGATGATCGCTTCAAGACCGAACTAGATTATGGTATTTCCCTTCCAAAGACCACAGCTTCCAGTGTGACGGAGAGCTGCTGTAGAGCTGTACGGCCCCTTCCCCCAAGTGCGCATAGGTATACCCTGCAGGTGGACTGGGCTTAGAATAGTATCATACTAGTATTGTAGATAAATCAGCCTCATTTACTCAGTGTCTTTAACTGAAATTAATTATGTTAGAGGGAAGGGAACAATTTAACCCCTGTTTTTCATATGTTAGACAGTATTTGAGAGCTTGTTTAGTCATATAGTAAAGTATATCACATCACTACACACATGCAGATACACGGCTGCATATGTTTACTTGTGTTAGAACACCAAACCACAAGTTGTACTTCATGATAACCAGCAGGAAGCACTGGTCTCATTGTCATGCAACGTTACGCAAGCAGCTGCCATTCAACTGCACATTTGTAGTTCCTATTGTCCATTTGTTTATAAAGAAATGCATTGAATGTAGCGCCAGGGCCTAAACTTAACTCTCAGTCTTATCAGTCGTAGCTGTTCAACGGTTCTCTGCTCTGCTACTCATCATGGCGGGCGGCTTGTTTACTGCTGCTAGAAACCTTTGCCTGGAGACGTGTACACATGCGTTCAGTATGGGACCACAACACACCTGCAGAGCATGGGAAAGGGCTTAATGACCAGAAATGTCACTGGCTTTCATTAGAATAGAACGAGTGCAAAAACAGTCGGAGGAATGGCTGCTAGCTGAAGAACAGAAGGTGTATTGTGTTTTTGAGAACAAGCAGGAAGAAATGCGTTTGTCCTGCTAAGCTGATCTGTAGGAAGCATAAGGAGATCATACAAAGAATTTCTTTTGCCCCACCAGCAAATCGTATTAACCGTCTCATTATTTAAACATTCATGTGCAAAATAATTACTTTCTTTTTAGTGTGCGAAGCTCCAATTGTAATTGCATAGTGGCATCCCCATGCCAAGACACTATAAGTCCACTTTTGTCTTTTAAATCTTGAGCAGAATAATTGAAAGCTTACTTTGTCATCAATAGCAGACATGGTGCTTACAGTTTTCAGTCAATTTATGCAAAGGTGCAACGTTAGTTTAGCAAGCGCCTTTTTTGTCGTTCTAATAATATGCAAGGAAACAGCTTAAACAATGTTGTCAAACTTGTGAACACATGCAGGCATAATAATGAAAAGATTTACAACATTTATCAGTTGAATAGTAAAGTCTGAACTTGACTGACTCATAGAATGTCAAATCAGTTTTATTTATATAGCCCAATATCACTCATTGCCTCAAGGGGCTTCACAGTCTTTGTTGTTACGATACCCTCTACGCTTAGACACTCGATGCAGATAAGGAAAAAAAACAGGGAAAACATGGAAGTAACTTCAGGAAGAGCCACAAAGGATGGATCCCTCTCCCAAAACAGACAGACATGCAAATAGATGGCGTGCTTACTGAACAGAGTGGAAGAATAGACCCACACAGAACAGATCTATAACAATATGTATGACATAAATAATGTCTGAAGCAGTGACTACTATTCACAATGATCGTATTTTTGTTTTCGTGCAGACATTGAGATCTTTAAACCACCCATGCTGTTCGGAAAAAAAACCAATTACTATAAAATTGCAATAGGTTAATGATAGCTCCGCGGCTGTGTGGCCCCGCAGTGTGAGGAGTAATCTGAAGTGTTGAAATGCCTCCCAGAGGGAAGTTTGCATATCTGAGGTCTGATCTCTGCAGCTAATGGTCCCTAACATAAACACACCAAGTCCTTACAAGCAATTATTGCTTTCATAAAAACACCCCTTGTTCCCTTCCAGCATTTAATTGCGGTCAAACAAATGACTAGCAGGGTTCAGAATGCACCGCTCTTAATGACAAACGGCTCGTGTGTGTTTTTGTTTCGTTATTAGTTTAAAAGACTGTGAGTCAGTGCGTGTGTGTGCTCTCATGAAACAAACTTGCTGTTTCTAGTGTTGGGCTGCTGTGTGTATGTCTGTGCACTGACACAATAGTGGACCATCAGAAGGGAACGCAGGGTGATGTCATGATGATGTCATGGTGTATGCCAGCGGGCAGGATGTGTTTAAGGTGGCTAATCGCTGCTCAGCTCTGCACACCTTCACCAGAGACCTCCACTGCTCTTTCCAAGGACAAACACATTGACTAACGCTATAAAAACACGACACTGGAAAGCCTCAGGAAGCTTTGGGGTCTTTCTGACCACCGCTCCCCTGGAAAGTCTGAGTGCTGGAGAGCCTCAGCTGGTTCAGGGCGGGTCGGAAACCCTGTAGTGCCATCAGCTACTGCTGCTTTACTTCATCCTCTACAATGGGAATGAAATCACTGGACTGTGATACATGGCAAAATGATCAGGGAGGTGTGGGTGGTACAGACTCTGGCAGCTAGGTCACATGAATTTGTGTGTCGCTCTATATTTTATGTGAGTGTGTTTATAAAAGCACACTGACTGCTGTGGTTTTCCGGGCAGTGCCTTAACAGGCCTTTTCTTGTGGTCAGCACATGTGTGCAATTTAAACAGGGAGCCAAACTGAGCCTTGAGTGTGTTTTTTCTCCCCCACATTGGCACGTATAGCAGATTGACTTAAGTGATGTTTAGATCAATCACTTCTCTCATGGAAGCAGGATTTTTCCTATTTCTGACACTGTGCTTCCGAGATGTGGGCAGAGTGACACACATCAGAGAATCGTTTGATTCAACAACGGTTTTGACATCTGATTGTACTCACAGTGGTTTGCCTTTCCCTCAGATGTACAAACTTTCCCTTTGAGGGTTGTAAGTATTATTTCACTGTGTGTGTGTGTGTGTGTGTGTGTGTGTGTCAGCTGATGCAAACAACAATAAACCATTTATCACTGCTCTATTCAAATCTGGTGAATTATAAATGAAGCATGTTGTCAAAGCATTTTTACTGTATCTTTATCTCTGTTTCTCTCTTTTCTCCCTAATAGTTGATCAGGATCAGGATCTTCTATATAAGCAGCACAGAAGAGAATTTCGCTTCGACCTTTCCCGTATCCCAGAGGGAGAGGCCGTCACAGCAGCAGAGTTTAGGATTTATAAAGATTTCATCCAGGAACGCTACGAGAACGAAACATTCAGAGTCAGTGTCTACCAGGTCCTGCAGGAGCCTCCAAACAGGTATGGGTGTTTTCTTTCCGGCTCGTTTCTCAATTTTACAGGAATTGTACAGATTCTTTGCTGCTTACTCTTGATTTGTTTTAACCTCGATCATATATATCAGCTGGATCTCCTCAGTTGTGTTTAGCATTAAGGGATCACTCAATTGTATTCCCTCACTTTCCTCTAGTGGTCTCTGTTTGAATTTGTCTGGGTTTATGATATCTGTCTGATTTCTACCACCGCACTTATAAGATGGTAATGAAAGTTTCAGTGGTGCTCACAACGCATTAGCAGTGAAAAGTGAAACCTAAAACTAAAGTAGGTAACTTATAAAATAACCTTTTTGTCTAATTGGTTGTATTTTTTCAGACGCGGTAGATTCTTACAAGTGCCATTAGGAGCTGCAGGAGGAGTCGGAGAACAGATTATCTGTCTTATGTACTACTGTCAGGATATAGTTAGATTCAGCAAATATGACAAAAAGTTATATTCATAAAAGTTACCTACTGCAGTTTTAAAGAAAATTTACAGTGGCTTTCTGAAGCTGTAGGCTACTTTGGCACAGCAGTGCTTTGAGCTAAAATCTAACATCACCATGCTAACATTCACACAGTTATAAAGCTAAGAAGCTGATGTTTAGAATGTACAATGTTTACTGGTTCACCGTGTAAGTTTAGTGTTTTGTTGAGTGCACTAGAGAAAAAGTTATTGCAATTCATCTTCAAGGGGATAATGAATGTCTGCACCAAATGTCATGGTGAAAAAACACAAATTCTCCCCTTCATGGTGATGTCCCTTAAGTTAATGAGGTTTATCATCTGGTAACCATGAAAGAATACAGTTTTGTGCCAAGCCGTCTAGCAGATGTTGGGATATTTTACTAGATAAGTGAAAACTCCAGTTGACCTGCTGGTGGCACTAGAAAAGTCAGGGATCACCAAAGTGATTATAGCTGATCTCAGGGACACAAATGACGGCACCAAGTTTAATGGCAGTCCATTTAATATTTGTTGAGATATTTCATTAAAAAACAAAAAAAGTCAATCTGCTAATATCTTATCTCTGACTTTAGCTATAGCTAAAGGCCACAATGAATGTCTGCAGGAAATTTCACAGTAATCCATCCAGTAGTTGAGATATTTCAATCTGTCCCAAAGTGGTTGACGGACCAAAATGTCCATCCCTAGAGCCACGCTGCTAATGTTGATAAAAATTCAACAGCAATGTGACTTTTTAGAAACAGTGTCCCCATTTCTCTGAATAATCCCAATTCCCCACAACACATTGAGAGCAGTTTTCATACAGGCTAATTCTTATAGAAACTAGTTCCAAAGGCATGTTGCTGGTGAATATTTTAAATGTAATTCTTGAGTACTGTGAGGCACCTTCAATGAAACTCCATTCACCTCCGTTGTAACTGGGCCAAGTATATCTATCTCTCTCAGAAACCAGATAAATAAAACCAAACCTATCTGCATGGCTAATTAGTTAAATTTAAAGCATTTTTCAAAGGTTCTTCAGTTCTTCATAGTACCAGGTTTCAGTGCTACATATGATTATCCTCTTATGATAGTGACAGAGTACGACTAGTGTGGTTGACTTTGAACAAACACCTTATGCTGCTGTGTGTTTTTTTGCTGAAAACTGGTCTTTAGTCTTCCGCATGTGCACATGGATCTGTCTGCCTTGGCGGTGTCTGTCTACGTTTCCCCACAGGTTATTTCTGCTGATGTTAGTGTCAGCACCAAAGCTGTTTACACAGACATTAGCGTCAATTACAGAAGCACAGTGGTTCTCTCCAGAGCAAGTTTACTCTCACACAGTCAGAACAGGCTGGTCCCTGGGAGACCTGCGTTTATAACACACAGCTCCAACCACAAATGACACTCTCAACCCTCAAGACGTCAGTTTACTCTCTTTCTCTTACACAGGTGGTTATTCCTCCATGTTTCTGTCTGTCTGTAGCTCTGTTTGGTCTGTCACTCTGCCAGCTTCTGGGTTACGCTCACGCTGTTTCCTTGTTTCAAACCACATCTGAAATTGGATAATTAGACTCAACACACCCCCTTCTTTCTCAGTAATCAAAGTTGTACCACCCACATTATAAAATCACTCTGCCCCATTAACTTGCTTGACTCTGCCTGCCAGGGAGACATAAGTGAGCGGCAGCAGATTTAAGTCCTTCATCGGTGACAGCGGGGCTGAGGATGGTGTTAAGCGCAACACCATTGTCATTCACAGACACACAAAGGCCACTCCACACAGACAAGCAGGCGGCAGGACTATGGGCAGACGTCTGCCTGAAGGTCTGAAACTCAATCTGTAAACAAGGCTATTGTCTGGGAAATCTGCCCTTAAGACGGCATGATATGTGTGTAGGAGTTTTCTTCTGGGATGAAGAAAGTGCTTCTTTGATAGTGGCTGTTTGTTTTGGTGGACACATGATTCAGGGGCTGGATGTTTAGGTCACTACATGTTGTTTTAAGACTGAAATGATTAATAATAATTTATTGTTATAGTTTACATAAGAGTTCTTATTCTTAAGTATTCTTATATTCTTCTGTATCAATTAACTATGAAAGATTAGGTTTGTTATTTTGATTTGCACGGGTATTCATCCTGATTCAGTGTGTTTACAGTGCAGTCAGAAATGATTAGGACAGTCACACATGCTCTGTACTCTAGCACAAACAGTGGCCATGAGCTGTCTCTCAGCTTTAATTTCAACTTGTTTATATCCTAAACAACAAGGGAACTGTGGCCCTTTAGGTGACACAACGTAATTGGACAAGTTTACACAAACTTAATTGATGTTATCATGTTTTATATTTGGTTCCTTTGCAGCCACAGACATCAACACTGCAGCTATCTTAATTATTGTGCTCACTTTTTTCCTTCAGTCTGGTCATCAGCAAATGAAACACATTCTCTGTTAACTGAGGTCAGGTGTCTGACTGCTAATAAACAACATTCCACTGTTTGACCATAAAACCTCTTAGTTGCCTTTAATGTATTATTTTCCTGCGCCATTGGGGGAATATCTATAAAAAGGGTTACGCTACACTGTGCCCCCAGTATGGATGTAAACGCATTCAAACACAAGGCTGAAAATAAGCACTTTAACCTCAAAGTCATTCATTTATTTCTAATCCAATCTGCAGGTGGACTTTGCCAAAATGATAAATATAGTAATATATAAAACAAGTTGTCCTAATATGTTCTAACTGCACTCTAGCTGTTGCAGGACCACACATGTAGTTCTGCATTTATTTGCCAATTAAAAACTAATTTTATGTAATTTACAAGACAGCCAACCATTTTCCTAAGCATACCACATGCTCTTAGACTGTTTTCATACACTCCAGAGAGCCATTGCTTTTCATTAATTTCAGGAATGAAAATCAATTTGCAGAAACTCAAAAACAAGAGATGGGTAACAAATCACAGTGGACCACCATTGTAGCATTTTATCAAACTTGTGTTTTCATTTTATGGAAACACATTTGCAATTAGTCTTTGAAGGAACATTTGATTAGTATTTCAGTCTGCAGCCAAGCAAGGATACTCCATTTATGTTTAACTTTAACTTGTGTTTTCACACTCAATGTTTTCAGCCTTGAGATGCCTTGAATTTAATTACATTCTGTCCTCTCCTCAGTGAAGTGGAGCTCTTGCTACTGGACCAGCGAGAAGTGTGGGCTGCAGAGGAGGGCTGGCTGGCCTTTGACCTGACTGCTACCAGTAACCTCTGGCTGGTCAACCCGGAGCAGAACCTCGGCCTACACCTGGTCCTGGAGGACAGCCATGGTCAGTCACTGCCATACATTAACTCGCATGAGGGGGGGGGGTCCATAACAGCAACAATAGCAAGAATACAGTCTTTGTTTAGAGTAATGATTTAATGCTTTTTAAATCATATGGTTAAAAGCACAACCACATATTTAGTGTTTATTTGTATATTTATAATGTGTATATAGGGTTCTTACAGAGTTCATGTAATGATTGTGGTTGTTGTGGTTGTATTAGGATGAACAAATGATTGTTTAGTAGAAACTTAGATGTGTGTTATTGTCATTCTTTAGTGGTTGGTTCACTCATTAGTTCTGTTCCCCCTGTCTCTCTCCGAAGGCCAGAGGAGGAACCCCCGACTGGCGGGGCTGGTGACAGGCAGTGGACCTCAAGACAAGCAGCCCTTCATGGTTGCCTTCTTCAGAGCCAATGAGGTGCGTTTCCGCAGCGTCCGTTCTGCTCACGGCCACAAGGGGCGCCAGTCCAACCGCTCCAAACCCCAGAGGACTGTCCAAGATGCACTAAAGGCAGTGGAGGCTGCAACAGGTGCCTGAACCTTCTCACTCACACCATCATAGACTCTCGTCATGGTTTTAATCACTTTGACCAACTGGCCTTTAATATTTTTGTATTTTGATACTTGTGTGTACTCATACTTGCGTGTTGTCAATTTCAGATAACCTTGGCATCTCTAAGGAGGGATGTAAAAAGCATGAACTGTATGTCAGTTTCAGAGATTTAGGATGGCAGGTATAATTCAGAACTTTCATTTTGATCTCATTTTGATATCATTTGATTTTCAAAAGTGACAATTGACTGATACTTCCTGTGATTTTATTCTGATCAGGACTGGATCATAGCACCAGAGGGCTACGCCGCGTACTACTGCGAGGGAGAATGCGCCTTCCCTCTCAACTCCTACATGAATGCCACCAATCACGCTATTGTGCAAACTCTGGTAAGTCCCAAACAGCCCCTGATGACAGGCACTTTCACTACAACCTCCTCCACTTTCTGTGAAGATTGATTTATGCTTCTTCTACCCACAGGTGCATTTTATCAACCCAGAAACGGTGCCCAAACCCTGCTGTGCCCCCACCCAGCTACATGGCATCTCGGTGCTCTACTTTGACGACAGCTCCAACGTCATCCTCAAGAAGTACCGCAACATGGTGGTCAGAGCCTGTGGCTGCCACTGACCGCTCGTACCCCCTTCTGTGAGCTGTGCAAATCCGAAGGGACGTTTAACAAAGGCGGAGGCAAAGGAACCAGAGGCAAGATGATTGACTGGCTGGTCACCAGGGAGCTCTTGCCGCAGAATGGACTTTAATCTGGTGTACTGTTGTTATGACCAGCAGCTGAGCCTCCCATGCAGCATTTACTACGACCACAAACCAGTTAGAACTATTAGTCACAGAGAAAGGTTTCTTTAAAAGTGCTCTGAAAGGACCAAATATTGAGTGCTAGAAACAGAAAGTCAAAACTATTTCCCCTAATGTTTAACACATATCTATCTGCATTCTCTTGTGACCAAGAGGCATCAAAATATAAAATATGGCTTGGGTGGAAATGTGCATTTGATAACTGATTTCACAGCTTGTAAAACTTTAAATCTCCATCTTCCTGTCGAACCACTGCACCTTGTCTTTTGGAACAGCTGGATGAACTTATGTCCCGATGAGAAGAAACCAACTTCACTGGTGTTGAACTAGTTGTTCAGGAAGTCATTTGGACCAAGTCAGGTGTAAGACATCTGGCAGCTCCTGAATGTGCTTCTGATGTAGAGGAGCTCAGTGAAGAATGACAGCCGAGACTGTTAATAACAGTGTGCGGGACTGAAAGTCCTGCCTGTTGGGCCCAGTTTCCTGGTGCAGACATATATCACCAGCCCTGTGACAGGCATACAGTCTGCAAGATGTCAGTGATTCATGAGGCGGACATCGGGGTGTGCACCATCACCCCGACTGCAGCTGCCTTCTGGTGTCAGACCAGAGCTGCAGGTGGGCAAAGGGAAGCTGTAATTTTATTTTGTCAAGTAGTCAAATAAATGGAAACTATCCCACAAGAAGCAGGTGTTTTTTTTATTTTTTTTTACCTTGTTTGACCTCAACAGTGTTCCTTACAGTGGCATTCAAAGCACCTTTGGCTGTAAATGGCTATAGTAAATAATGGTTTGTGAGGGATTCATTGGGTTTAGAGAAACAAAATTCAGACCGTTTTAGACATGACATATTTATTTAACAGTGCGAAAACTGTTTTACAGGTTAAAGACACAATCAGTGTGTACAGCACCTTGTCCACCCTAACTCTGAAATCAGAGTTGAGTGGTCCGCATTTCAATTTTGAACCATTTCATTTTTTGTCCAAGTGTATAATGTATATAATATCCAGACATATGGCGCTGTACACTGATCACAGATTGTGCTTTTGAAGTACTTTGAATAGCTCTTAACAATGGGACAGACATTTAAAAAGGAGCATCGGTACAAAAGCAGCTATATACTGCAACAACCAGGCCAATAAAAGCATTCTCACTGACATTCACAGAGAAACTAGGAGCTTCCAGCACAACATATTACACCACAGCCCACACTGTTAAAAACACACACTATATGTATCTGTCACCTTAAATAGAAAACAGAGGTAGAAGCGAAAAAACTAAATCCTACTGAAAAAAAGTTGAATGTCAATTTGAAAATTCACTTTATTATCAGGATTCTGGCATGGGGGATATGCAGAAATTTGGAATGAAATTGATCCTTTATGTGGTTTAAGAAGTCATATTAGATGCAAGAGAGATAAACTTAAAATGATTTGATCAGCAGTGAGGAACCTGAGGGAGTATTTTTCTGTGCTTTTCAGGGAACAAGGGCACAATTTTGTCAGAAATGCTGCAAAAAATAATCAGAACACTTTAAAAACCCAAACAATATTCTTTCTTTAATTCACTATCAGTGAAGCAGCTCCCTGTGGAAACATAGATGCACGCTTTGGTTCTCCACGTTCTCACAAAAACGTATTAAATTGACTCTCTCACATGAACACGATCTGAATTCTGTGTTATGATAGACTCTGATCATGCTCACAGAAAATGAAATGTTTAACTCAACTCTTGACAAATATGCTTCTGTAGGTTTTCCTCTGGGGGATCCTGAGAGTTTATCTTATCAGTCCTCTTTAGCTTTTACACCTTAGATACAATTAAAAACCACAGTCAAGCACAGAAATACAATTCAGGAGGTAGAAAGACAGCAAATATCAGCTGAATATAGCAGAGCTTAAAAGAGATAGACTTCTTCCTGTCCATAAAACAGTGAACCTCCTCACTACATGCAGTTAATCCCTGTACCTCTTAACTCAGGGGCTGAATAGTGCCTCCTCCGGACTGCCTCTGCCTCCTTCTTCTGCCCCCCTGCTGGCCACTCTGGCCCCGGGGGAACCTGGGGTTGTGCTTCCTTTAGGGACTCACACACTCCTTCTGATTTCCTAGGGGAGGTTTTTGGCTCCAGGGTGGCTGACGGTGCAGGCTGGGGGGCTGAGACAGGGGTGAGAGCCAGGCAGACGTCCCCCACAATGAGCTGGCGGCACTGCAGGCCACAGAGACGGGCAGTCCTCTGAGGGCTGCAGGAGGACCAACCCCTCCCGCGCACAAAGAACGGGTACTCCACATAGACATCCACCAACTCCTGGAGGAGGATGATACATTATGCAAAGGAAGATTAGAAACAGCGATGCAGCCTACACACTTGTTCACTAGGGGGTGGTGTTGTCCTACTTGTGCTGAATTCCTGTCAGATAGCAATATAGTGAAGTGTTTTTTACGTACTAAACTGAAGCATTCAATAGCTTCAGTAGAGACATTTGATAAATTCAGGCTTGTACTGATCAGCTATTTGCACAGTTAATCAGATACCTGACTAACTGAGTGATGAATGTCAGTAGATGTATTTTTACCACATACCAAAAAGGGATGTGAATCGAGTACTGGTTCCAAATTGTATGCCACAATTTGCCATCAATTTATTTTTATCAATGGCAGAACAAGTAGAAGAAGAAATTGTCCAAATAATGACTTCATCAAACTACTATAACTTCAGCGTTAAAACCTGTGTAGGCCTACTTTTCATACAGAAAACTGATCAGGAATCAATAAAGGCAATTGACAAAGAATCGGGCCGATAAGCATAATCGCTAATGGTATTTGTATCAATAAAATCTTATCAATTCGTATCCCTAATGCCAAACCAATGCCACCCACAAATGAATGATCCAGTCTGAAGTTAGGTTAAGGGCTTGTCATAGTGATTAAATATCCATAGCTTTTTTGTTAATTATATTTGAAATCAAAGCCCAGTGAAGTTTTTGTATGTAGAAAAATTAAACAATTCCAATGAAAACAGCATGCAGTTTTACACAGTCATTGTTTTTCAAATACAAAGACTGGGATGTCAGAACAGATCTAATTCTACACATAGTGGGTATACAAGGATATGTTTCTATATTTTTTTAATCAAATGAATTCAATGAAGAGACCAAAAACCAATAATGCTTCTCCCATACCCTGTGTGTATGTGTGACTGTCAGTCTCAAGCAATTTCATTTATAGTGAAGACATGAATCTCACAAATGATTACAGTCATAATAGTTTAAGTTTAAAAAAGGCTGCTTTATTTACAAAAGCAGCTGGGCACTGTTGTTTTAAGCGTTATTCAAAAAGAAAGTGGAAGTACTTACTTACTGACTAGTTTCTGCTGCGGATTTAAACACATTTGGTGTGCTAGTATGTGGGAGTGCCCACGTTCATTGCAGCGATGGAGAAGTCACTCAGTGCAGCGGTGTGGCTAACTTATGTACGGTATTTGAATAGTTTTTGGACAGAAATGGAGCTCTGTGACCCGGTGGAATAAGACGTAGCAGGGTTTGATTACACAGACAATACTTGCTAGAGGGATGAATTTGTGAATTTGTCCTATCCCCATACAAGTATTTAAAACTGATAAAATATTAAGGTTCAAAGATCATATGACCATATGACCTGAATGCAACATTTGGTAGATGAATTACATTAGAGCAATAATGGCAGTTACCTGTAAATAAAGCAAAGTAATTTTTCCTTTACCTGGGACTGCTGGTCGTGAAGCAGGATGAGGAGACGTGAGATGGAGGAGGAGGAAGCTGAAGCGGTGATGCTCTGCACCGTGCAGCAGCTCAGGCGCAGGTCTGGACAGGCCAGGGATCCCAGCAGGAAGTCTTCTGTCTGCAAGTGTTCCACTCTCCTCAACTGCCCGTCTCTGAGCTCAATAAGAGAGCCTGCCACAAAGTGAGGAAGCAGCCAAGGAAAATGGTTGGGAGAGGAAGGATCATGCTCAGAACAGGCGAGTGTAGAAGATCTTGATGCGTCCTCCTTCATGGAGGTGTATGTGTTGCTTGAGTTATCGGCAGGGGAAACTCTTATGAAGGAACGTCCAGAAACATGTTGTTTGACCCCCTTTGTTGACCGTTGAGCTGTGAAGTCCTCATATAGAGAGTGAGGTAGGCATGTGCTCAACAATGGAGGGCTTGCTTTTTCAACCCTGGGAAAATACTCAACTTTTCTTTCCCTTCTCCTCACATAAGGTTCTTTATTCCTCCCATTGCTCTGCCTCTCCGTGTTTAAACTCTTGTCCCTTAATGTCTTGGGCTGCTCCCAGCCGTACCCTCCACCCACCCTTTGGAAACCGTCAGTGACCAGGGAGACAGGGCTGAATCTGGAGTGGTGGTGTGGGTGGTGTGGGTGCAGTGCAGGTGTTCCAGACAAGTGGCTGTTGGACTGATAGTGGTGATAAAAGTCCCATCCAGGGTGCAGGGGGTTGAACTCTCTCCACTCGGCCCAGCCATGATGCTCCCTGAACGCAGAGAGGACCTGAGGTTTGGATCTGGTGGATGTGTTAGTCTGCATCCATGGCTGGTACAGTGCAGGAACCCGTTTCGGTACGGGCTGAAAAGGGCCTGTGTGTTTTGTCTTAAACTCACTGTGGCTCTTGTAAGGGTAGGGCGCCTTGAATGTTGCAGCATCACACTGCTGCTGCTGCTGTTGCTGCTGCTGTGGGGGAGAGCTTGGTCTTTGGTCCCTCTTTTTGAGTGGGAGGCTGTCCCTGTCTGGGACAAGTGCTAGGTTCGGTGTGAGGCTCATTGGCTCACGCTGCCTGACGCTCAAACTGGCACTGCATGCCCTCCTGCAGAAGCTGAGGAGGTGTTGTGATCATGTGACACAGACTCCACTTTTTTCGCAAGCGCTGCAGATAGTTAGGTCCAGGGTTGTCACGATCTGAAAAGTAGAGGAAAAACATGTTGGTGCACATTATGTCCTCACAAGCAAGGGGTCAACCTGAAGAAAATCATTTGAATTTCTATTGAGACTCTTTCATTCTTTGCCTCTCACGGCCTCTCACTTCAAAGATTTCTTGATAAATGACCACCCGGTGAGATCATTGCCTGTAAATATCCCCCTCACACATCAATAGTAACTTCAACATCAGCCTTCACATGACGGCATTCCAACCACCAATTGCTATATTGATGGGGTTCAGTTTGATGGACATCTACCAACTCCTTTGAAAAAAAAAAAGTTACTATGGTAACAAAGAACTGCACAGTATGGTTGATGGAAGGAATGAAGTTATGGTGAGGATAATGCAAAGTAAAAGGTTGGGGGTGGGTGAGAAGTTAGAGGTTAGATTTTATCATGAGGTTAACATTATCTTTCAATCATGCATTTTTCTCATGGGACCGAAAACGCTAAAAACTACTGAAACCCCATCCTCCTCCTTACATGCACATGCACAGAAGAGAGTCAGTTCAGAGGGGGGGCTAAATATAAACACTTTGTGGTCTCACACACACACACACA